TCTTTGTTCTGTATAAACTGAAAGAGCATTCTTGCTGGCATCGAAATTGTTCGAAAATTGACAAATGCAAAAAATTAAGGATACTTGGTAAGCTCTTATTCTTTGCATCAGAAAGTTTGCTTACAGTAATTATTTTATTCGCAGTCAAGTGAGATGAAAATATTTTGAGGAGCTGAAATCAAAGCAGCGTTGACAACTTAATAACCAATATCAAGTTTTTGATTTTTTTGTACATGCAAAAATAAGAATAGCCAGAAGAAGTGGTAAGTTAACATTGCTTTGATTAAGATACTTGGTAGCTGAAAAAAATTTATTAACAAGAACAGAATCAACAGTGAATATGCCTTCTACTGTAATGGTTAGGCTGAAAGTTCACTTACTTTCAGTCAAATATTATAGCTCAAAAAAATGTTAGCTTACATGAAAAAGTCTCAGTAACTTGCACGTAACTTTTGTAAGTATTTTTGTAGTAGACTTCATGGCCTCTACACGATAACATTCTTGCTCAATTTTTTATTTATATACCTTTATACAAATTATCGATAGCATCTGCATATTATAGCCATCTATGAAATCAAGCAGGAATGAGTAAAAATAGCCAAGTAGAGTCTTGTCTGAGCCTTGAATGAAGAATAGTGTGAATATTTAGTGCCAGAATTTATGAAGCTTAAAAAGTCTTCAGATATAACTGTGTAATAAATATAAAAAATTGTCTACAGCTACATTGCATTTTCAAATTTATGAACTAAATTTGTCAGATTTATAATTATTTAGGTAACAGCTAATGTCAATAAAAATAGTTTGATTGCAAGCCTTTGGTTTGCTTTGAAAAAGTTCCTAGCTTGATAAAAGCACAACTTTGAGATATGTAACGATGCGTAAAACTTACATGCTGTAAGAAGTAATCCTATTCTGATATATTTATAAAATAGAACATACATTGGACTTACGAATCTACGTGTTACTGCAAGTAAAAGTAAGGGTGGTATAAAGTATAATGAAAATGAAATAACATACACTACCTGTCCAACCATAAAACAAAAATCACCGATCTCTACCTTATTTATAGTTACAAAAAATACAAAAATTTAATATAAATCTCTTCAAAAAAACACTATAAAAATCATATATTTGAAAAATAATAATGAAATTAAAATAAGGACATATATTATTTCAGCTAATTGATGATTACATAATTACTAATTATTTATTCTCCAGAATCGTGCACAAATTGTGGAACGAATGTGCTCTTTGAACTCTTGTCTTCCTTACAATGACATCAAATCAAAAATGAATCAGTGCTTAGAAAACGAGTTACGGAATGATTGTCCAACTGAATTCAACAGATAAACCATTAAGATCACAAAGCACTGATAAAGCGTGTACACATACAAATAAACCTGAAACTTTGTTTTATAACATTTGATATTTCAACAAATATTCCAACACCCAAAAATATCTCATATTTATTTCTTACTATCAGTTGTAAATTATTCATCAGTTTATGGTTTTCGAAGTCCAGATTTTTGATAAAATTAAACAAGCATTCTATAATTCTTTGGATAAGAGTTATAAAATAGAAGAAAGTTACATACCAATAAAAACTGATAAGGAAAACTCCATTAATGGAATGAATGTTCACAAATTGTAAGCAAACATTTAGCAAGCAGTAAGAAAGTAAGCGAGAATATTCGTGCGCATAGCAGTCCGTGATGGTCTTCGGAAACTTTCAAACTGTTTACCCATTTTATTTCAGATTGCTTGAAAAATTACTATCAGTCAGAGAAGTTCTGCAGTAATCATATCTGTAATACGTGATAACAATTTCTCTTCTGAAACTCGCTGCTAGATTAGCAATTATAGCGTAGTTAAATACAGAAAACATAAGGAAACGAAACCTTCAGCCTTTAGAAAATTTTGCAACTAATAATTTGTGTTAAAAATAAATGAAAGTGGCTTTTAAATTCATCTTCTCATACACTCCGCAAAAACGTTACACTTATGCGTTGATCACATACTACACAAATCAACCTTATCTTTATATGCTAATACTGAATAATTTGCAAAAGTGAATTACAAATATTAAGCATACAGATAATTTCTGCATAAACTTGCCAATTTTAACAAATTAATTTTACAGCAAAACACTTTTCTCATGAAAAATTTTTAAAATTATAAAACGCAATTCAGAAGATTGCTGCAAAATAAAATGCAAAATTCAAATAAGATGTAAAAAAACATTCATTCACAAATTAGATAACTCATACAATTACCACGATATCATATAAAAAACATATATACATAATTTCACCTTAAATTTGTCACTCAAAAATAATACGCAATTTTTAATTTCTTGAAGAAGACACAAAAAATAGAGAAGTAAGAGGGAAATCTTGTTGTACTTGACAAAAATTTATTTCAAATCTAAAAATTCGCAACTGATTGATGAAGTATTCATTGACTAGTTTTGTCCACCACAAATTTAACAGGTAAGAGGAAGTAGCTTTAAATTTGGTTAATGAAATTACTAAAGGTTAAGCTTTCTGATGACCGAATACTGCTATCGTGAAAGCATTGTGGAAAATGATACAGGTTTATATTCTACTGCATAAAATGTTTGTAGTTTAACTGAGTTAACAAAACTGGTATCATACCACAGCAAAGATGATGCGCGACAAATATGATTCAAAGTTAGATTCAGTTTCTAGCCAATGCATAATAACATTCCGATCATAGTATTGGATAGCAATTTATTTGTTGGATAACAAAATGAATTGTTTTCTATTAGTGTTCATTTTATATATTTATCCAGTTTTTAAACAAGCTGCAGTCATACAAGTCTTGTATAACAAAACTATACAATAAAATGGATTGATTCACTTTATTAAATTTAAAAATAAAGAGATGAAAACCGATAGATACAAAACGACAACAAATCAAGTCAGAATGAATGATCATTACCTCTATACAAAGTTTATCAAAAGAACTAGAGGAGAATTTTATGGCACTAATATTCTGATTGCACTACTTCCACAGAAAAAAATTACTCATTAGCGAAGCATCAATGCCTTCACTGATACAGAGCTACACCAATTACTTACTTCAATCCACGCTTAATTTCAGAAAAGAAAATTGCTTACATAACTAAATAATGTCCCTTCCATCTGATGACAGAATAAAAAGCAAAAAGCCACCAGATATGCTTGATTAATAATTATTCAGTTCATATTTTAGCTCTTTAAAAAACTGAAAACTGTCTTTTATCTACCTGAAATACATCAGATGTTACAGCTCCGAAACATATCAACTATGTCAGCCCGTTCCCTAACTTTTAAGACATTCCTAGAAAGACATTCCTATATGCTGAGGAATTTCACCAAATGATTAATTCTTTTCCAGTGCAATTAAACTTCACAAGATATTCATGCGTTCAAAGCTGCGCATATCAATTTTTAATAAAAATATAATAAATCTATGTTTACAGCAGCTGTTTACAAAGAATACTGTTTTGGATAATCCGAAAAAATTTTTAAATTTCAATTTGCAAGAAAATGCCATGAGAAAGTGGAGAAAGTTTAAGAGAAATAAAAAAGTTTTGACCAGTGCAACGAACCATCGCGGTGCTTTCCACCTTAAGCAGCAATGATTTTGAAGTAAGTTAGAACTGAAAAATGTTCGAAAGTTATCTCGTTTCAAGCGCTGATCATATAACACTCACAATATATCAAAAATCAATAGCAAATTTCACGCAAACTTCTCAGAAAATAAAAAATATAACACTGTGAAGTGATATATATATATACAAATGGCATATTATCAGAGGAGTGATTACGCATTTACGAACAAAAGGCCCTATAGCAAAACAGTGGCATATAAGAAATTTGTATTTACAGCCCTAGGATAAGCTTCTTTTAGTCTGCTAAATCTTTTTATAAAATGCAATATGCAGGCAGCAAGGATGAAAATTTCTGGAAACTAATGAACGAATCAGCCAGATTAGGCAAATTCATAACACGCACCATTCAGTGCTAAGAAAATATGTAAATTACGCCCCTGTTTAATATTACAACCATAACATATGGTCAGAACAAACTAATCAAAAAAAAGAGCCCAGAAAAATTGCAATCACAGAGCTGAAATGAACACAGTTTCTACGGCACTTTTATCAGCTAATATGTTGACTTCTTTAGTGCAGAAATTTCAGTACTTTAATTACCTCAAATATTTTCATATTATTGTTTCTTATTTAAAAATTGCATAATTTTATAAATTTTTCTATGCTCCATCACTTACAATACAAGCAACGCAATAAATGTGACAGGGACAAATTAAGTACACAGAAACTATTCATATGCAGTAAAAACCAAATGATTTTAATGATATTCTGACAAAAACACATAGTAAAATTGACCAAAATTTGTGACGACCACGTAAGTCCACACGTTTTACAACTTGATAGAAATCAAATAAAAGTTAGCAAATTAATTAAGTGATAACTAAAAGTCTAATTTTAAATTTTCTTTCTCATAAGCGAGCATTTATTAACTTCGCGAACGAAATTGGAAACTAAGCGAAGAGTATATTTGATCTTTTCAGATGTTACTAAAGTTAAACAACGATTAAAATTCCGGTCAAGTTGAAAAGAGACTACCAGATCTGAGCAAAAACGGTGGAAAGTGAATTTGGAGGACAGCTCTCAATGAGAGATAGACAGGTTTTCTGTTTCTCATCATTTTACAAATAATAAACAATAATTATTTTTAATTAGATCAATCCCAATCGCTTTCAGTTCACGAATAGAAGTAATCTTGTATGAAATGACGAAAGTTGATAGCAAATATGAAAACGAGATCCAAAACCCGATGAATAACCAGCCTTTGGCAGTTTTCCAAGATTTCCAGATGCTAACTTCCGAGGAAGTCAACGTCACAACAAATAATAGAGGAATCATTCCGCAAAGGTAGTGTCTAAGAAACAGGCACAAATTTGGGTACTTTGTTTTACACTTTTGTTTCTGACTTCTGTTTATCGCGTAATAACGGTGTTTGCTCGCTATTTGACTGTGTATTCAAATTAGATGGTGCAGTTGGCTTGATGACCCGTATCATTATCGCGTCTTCATCTTCGTCGTCTTCCTCGGCAGCTTTCACTTTTCCCGCTATTCTAAAAACATTTCACAGCTCATGAAATTCAAAAATTTTATAACACTGCCACAAGTAATTATTATTAACAGTTGATGGTAATGATATTCAAAGTATCCAGATCGATTATTTAATTTAACATAATGTAAAATTAATTAAACTTATAGCTTTATTCGTAAGAACACTGATATTATTCATCATTACATTTCATGACCAAAAACCTGATCTTTCTAAATGATTTTTCATTGAATTACTCTACTAATTAAGCAGTTAAATGACAGTAAAATTAAATAATGTATGAAAATTTCAAGCGCATTATATCATTTGTATTTACATAAGAATAACTGAAGGGTTAATTCGGATGCAAATGCCCAATTCTTGCGATCAGCTCAAAACATATCTTGATAGAGCTTCATAGTGTGTAAATCATATTGCACCAACACTTATCGTAATTTCATTATTTCGAAAAATTCAGAGTTATCGGCCGAATATATTCAAATTTCACAAGTTTACATTTCATCTGTTCTTCCTATTATATGAAATCATTTGAAAAAACTTACTTATTCTGTAGAGACAAGTGCTGTCGTTCTGAACTGATATGTTTCCACATTCCAGTTTTATTCACTTCATTTGAGATATTCAAATTATGAATATTGTGAGAAGATTCTTGAATCGCCGCTAAGGGAATCTTTATTATCTCGCCACCTGTCGTCGGAATATGCAAGTGTGCTTCAGTCTTCACAGCATGTATTGTTCCTTGATTCTCTTCTAAGTCAATATCGAATTCCTTCTGAAACATAAACTTTGAGTAAGCAAGATTGACGATGCCTTCTTCTTTGAGAATAAGAATCACTCAAACTGAAAATAACACTACGATAATCACTAAAAGTTGAGAATACCGCAATGTTTCCTTTTCTTTTCATATCTTCCTTTTTCCTCAAATGAAAATCTGGCATTTTATCATCTAAATAACGCAAGTCTTTCTCCGAGAAAAAATTTTCCATAATCTTTCGCACAGCGACCATCACCACAAGCTGAAGCAAACTGTAGATACTTTCATATTAACAACACAGACATTGGCAGCACAATTTTATTTTCTACTAACATTTGTTATACTTTCATGTTTAACCTTTTTTTTAAAACAAGTTTACATATATCGACTCATTTTCTCCGGCAATAAACATAGATATGTTTAATGCCAAAGAAAATTTTTAATTAAAGTTGATAATCACTTCATTACCAAAGAGTAAATCATACTTACCATTATAGGAAACGCAATAGAAGTTTGTTTGATTGATTTTACTACCCACAAAACCGCTAAGCAAGCAACTTGACAAAATGTAAACTTGTGAATAACGGATATTGGCACGTGTCGGATATAAATCGCATCGGGCTGATGCCTGAAATTGTCCTGCAAGAAGTATACTCTCATACAGCTGACTACTGATATTTATATCGATCTAGAAATGCTTATAACACTGATTGCGCTTTGTATCCATTCCATCAGATTTCAGATTCCCTTTCACAGTAAAATCAACATTGGTAAGAGAAGAAATTCGCAAGTTTTAGCTAAAAATCAAACTTTTAGAAATTATAAGAGTTTTCACCGAACATCACAATCTCTTCAAATTAAGTTTCAAGAGTCAATTATTGAAAAGCAAAAAAATATAGGACACACTTCATCGGCATGAATAAAAGTAGAATTCGATCAAATAATTGTATGCCGCCTAATGCTGCGATTCCCATGTACAAAAAGACTCCATACAGAACAGGCATAGGTATATAACTCAAAATACCTGTCATCAACACCGAGCACCCAATGAATATAAATGTTACGATTCCAGTCACACGCTGTTCTCTATAAACTTTTTTATAATGTTATTACAATTACGAATCATTTTTCATAGCACAGCAGATAAAGAAAAATTGTTTGGTCCTTTTCGGTATGAAAAGCACATCCTTTTCAAACATGTCCTGTTCATGAAGTATACAAGAAAGAGAGATTATCTTAGACTAAGAAAAAGAGGGCGAATCTACCTCGATGTTTTCAAACTCAGATGGATTGAAATCAGACAATAAATGATATCAAAGGCTTAAACTACTCTCCATTTTACAAGCAACTGAATTTTTTAATAGAATTACCTGAACTGCTTAGAATGAAATTTTAAGTGGAACCTTAAGTGAAACGTAGTTATTTAATACTACCTACTTATTTTGTGCCTTCTGATGTTTGCTTATTACTTCGTTGTTCAAGCATATTAATATATTGCTATGATCGCTTGGCTTAAGATTTGAAAAATTGCTTTTGAGTACAGTAAAATTACGTGAAGGAATTACCGAACTCCTATAAACTGAGCAACTTCACCCGGAGCTCGAGATTCAGATTCCAGTTTTAATGAATTTACATGATTGATTGAAAGAACAGTTGCAGCAACGTAAATTGGTAATCCTAGTACACCAACCACAAGTATAAGACAAGCCAGAACACCTAGGTCTAGGTGATATCCATAGCCCTGAAGATATTCATAACCTGTTAAATAATAAGATCAGACATGAAATTCAGCGTGTACACCATATATTTAAGATTAGAAATTAAAATCACTTATTTTATTTTACACCAATGTTATAAAAAATCTTCTCCATATATGACAAACAAATTACAAAAAAAACTGCGTAGCTTTTTGTTTTTCATTAATGTCTTTAATAATAAAGTCATACCACAAATCAAAATGTGTCTTAATTACTGGTCTTCACAGTGTTTATCATCACACCACATATTAAAAAATATTATACCTTTTTTAACTTATTTTCTTTCCGATTGACAATAACAGTAGTAATTTGCTGATCCATGAAGATTAGAATACACGCAAGTACAGCTGGCGCACTTGCAGCAAATGCCGTCCAAAACGGATTACCATTAAAGGGTGGCACGAACCACCCACGTCCTTCCCATGTTGGCTACAAACAACTAACAAATCTCAAAAAATAAATGCAGAGGTTTTTATTTCCCGTTGCTGTCATAATAACAACAACAAAATCGGAGCAAAAAATATTAGCAGTCTTGAAAATAATGCCTGAAACTTGATAGAGAATTTCCCGACATAATCCCTGTAACATAAAATGCGAACTGAAATTAACATCATCGAACGAATAAAAATAGTTTGACAGTAAACCTCCGATTTCTCTCCCAAATAATTAAGAATTCTTTTTAAGCTGTTAGAAGTATTCTTACTCGAAAAGTGGATGGAACATTAAGTTTTGGTGTATTGATACCAACACATATGTCGATGAAGGTCATCGTTACAATAGCAATCATTACTGCAAAATCGCTTAAAACTTGCCGAACACGTGATGAAAAATAACGACTGTTTCTTAATTTCTGTAAAAATGATTTGCTCAAAACATTCAGCAATTCTAAAACTCAGCAATTCTAAAATGATCTATCAAATTAGAACAAGCAATAGAATAAAACTAAGATATGGAGTAATTTAGAAGGAATGAATTCTGATGACTTTTTTCCTCGTGAATGTTACCTGTATCTGTAACCAATAAGCAAATCAAGATTACCATAATTACTATGTTCACAAATAACCGTCGCAAATTGAAAATATTCAAAAGTTCGAATAATGACTTTTTAATTACAACTGAAAATCGCATTTTTATTTTTTCATATGCTGTCAATTTTTCACAAAGCCTAATCAGTGAAAGAGAAACTTCTACCAATTTAAACACTTTTATCATCGAAATCAAATATGATCAGCAAAATAAATACCTTTAAAGCAAGAGCCAGTGTTAGAGTACCCAACATCAAAACAAGTGACATCAGCAACTTATCATACAACACAAAACATCCATCACCTTCCAACGTACCATACAAACTTCGGCACCGGTCAAGACCAACCTAGAAGAGGGTAAAAATAAATTATATATTTTTTAAGATGATGATGATTAATAACTTCTTACTGTTTTTCAACTTATTAGTTTTTTTCGAGATAAACATGAAATCCTGACAACAAACTTTAAAAATATAAAACATTAAGTTTTTTTACTTCACTAATTACGTTCGAGAAGTTGCGCAGCTAACAAAAATGATTTAAAATGGTAAAAATGAGAAAAATTTTCACAAAAGCAATGAAAAACAAAATAACTGTTTTAAGATTAAATTAGTAAAAATACAATCAGTTACCCGTGAATAATCAATAAATGTTTTATTGTGTGCAATATCTTTCCAATTGTTTTTCTCGATTACATTCAAGGCTTTTGTTAAATGATCACCTGTATAAATACAACTACAGGTTGCAAGTGGGTCCTAGAACATTTACATAAAAGTTTTATATCAATTTATGCATCATCATTCTAATCAGAAATAAAAAAATGATAAAAATGTTCTACCGTTCGATTATATTGCACTATGTCTAGTAGTGTTCTGATCTTGACAAGCTTCATCACCGCTTCATATATGAAAATTACTGCAATCAAAGTTGCAAATGACTCTTCTGTAAAACGCGTTATATATGAGACCTAAAAATACATCAAATTTGAATAAAAACAATATTTGATTCAGAAGCTAATAAAACCAGCCAATTCACTTTTTTTTCTGAAAAGGTCTATAAAGTAGGAAAAAGAAATATGAAATGGAACAAACCAGAGCGCTAGCATCCGTAATAACCATCAGCAATAGGATAAAGGCAGTCCAAACATGAATCCAGAAACGAAACGAGAGGTAATCAAGATTAAAACTAGTACATAAGTCAAAAACTATTGTTTCGAATACTAATACAGGTCCCGTGGAACCGATAATCGTCAAAGGTTGACCACTGAACAAATGATAAATAACACCGCATATAGCACCACCGAATAAATTTTCCATCGCTGCCTACGAAACAAAAAATTGCAAAAAGCACTATGAAAAATAATTAATGGCATTTATTGTGACACAAAATACAGTTATAATACATGCTTAAGAAATAAATCTTGAATGGAATCATTTTAAATCTTTCAGTGACCAAAACAACGTCTTAATAGCAAGTAAGAATATGAAATTGCGATATTACCATTCGCTGATGAGTTGCTTCTTCAAGAAGACCACCAAATGTAACGATGGGTGCAAGCAAAGCAAAATACATGAAACAAAAGGTGGCAACACACTGTAAATTCAAAGAATCAGTGAAATCAGACAAATACCACGGGATTTTCCGTTTGATATCCATAATCAAGCCACCAAACAGACGACCTGTTCGCTTCAAAGCTGGATCACTTGCATGTGAATCTTCTTCTTCCATCTCCTAAGACAAAATTAATTTAAGAAGATTAAAACTTTTGTTATATTGAACGAAACACCTTTTTAGGAGCGGGAATTTTCGTCAGTAATAATTCGTCGCCTTGCTTTCGTTTATCTTGTGATGGTAATTTAGTAGGTGGCTCAATTCTGATATTTGGATCCCATTCACCCGGTGGCAATACGGTTACCTAAAGTAACAATTTCATTATTTAACAGTGAACAATACCGAGAACCCAAGCAACAATTTGAGAACAAAAATTAAGGATACCTGATCTAGGAATTCATCAACGCCATCTAGCAGATCATCTCTACTGCGAGCTTTGTAAGCTACATCATGAAATATCTGAAAATTACAAAAAAGATAAGTTATTCCTCACTGCAAAAAAAAAACGCAAATTTTGTTTCATTAATTTAATGAAACAAATGATTGTAGCCGACAAACCCCAACTGTTTTTTGAACGGAACTTACTATTCATTTTTATTATTGAATTCCAATTGATAAAAATTCTAACTTCTGTCTCGCTTTCTGTGAAAACAGAATTACAAACCTCATCAGACATGAGCGTTGCGATAGCTCGTCCAATTTCTCGATACTGAGCAACGTTACCCGTGGGACCCAATAAAACAAAAAAAAATCTTGTGGGAACAGGAACCTGAAATCACTAAGATTACTTGCAAAAATGAATATTTTTCAGTAAATGTGCAGCTATCAACAGGAAGCAATCAAGATCAGCACTAATCTAAAACGACTAAAAAAATTTGATATGAAGCTTTTATGTTAATGATAATAATACAACAGCATCAGTGAATCGAACTTGACGAACGGATTGCCTGTTTGGCGAAAGCTACCAAACAGATAACCTGTTTGCTTCAAAGCTGTACCACTGGCATGTGATTCTTTCTTTTCCATTTCTTGAAAATTTACAAGCATACTACTACAGTAACATTAACATATACTGAAAGCCTCACCTCAGTGAGATCACCGAAACTCGTAGCATTTTCCAGACGAACAAAAGCAGAGATATATCGAGACAAAAAGTCCACCTCGCCAACAAGAACATTGGATGCTTCGGCCTTCGATGGAAGTTTCTTTAAGAAATGTAAATTCCCTCTTAAGTCAACGTGAGATCCTTCACATGACACGTCTTTTGGTATTGGTCCAACCTGGAACTCATGCCACTTTGTAATTTGATTGCAATAAAAGCAGTACAGAAACAAAAGCAACAAATTTTGCCTGTCATTCATACAAGAGGAGAAAAATTCCACCTAAAATATTCAAACACATTTATCCAAATGATGAACTCTGATAGGTAATCAAAAATAATTATTCTCTGAAAGATACTTTACACCGCAATATTTCTTAATCTTCATCTTTTTTTGTGATATTTACCAATTCTATAACACAAAAATGAATTATCATAATTTCTTGTTATGTACACAAATATATGTATTTCAACATTGCATAAGTGCATTTGAAAAAGTGTATGTACAGCTGTTATTAATTTTTTTCTTCCCTTTCAATCTGTCATAGACATAAACATGTTAAATTCAAACCCTGCCATTCTAACCATTCAGTATTCTGAAATGTTGTAAGGTTTTCATCTCATAGTTAAGCAAAAAAATATCAATAGTCAGACTTGGACTAGCACTTTTGCTACATATTAGAGGCAAAAAGTCATGTTTTAAATTCTACTTCTTCCTTTTTTTCCTTCTACTTTCTAGAATAAATAAAGAATAGCATGAACTAACTCTTTCCTAGAAAGGGATTTCTAAAATTTGCTCTTGCAGACTGAATAATAGAAAATCGAAAATGATGCATTTTGCATAAATTAAAATCAAAGAAAATATGCCTCAGAATGGACTGTTTCTCTTAGAATCTTTTCAAGATTGATAAATTTTAGACATTCCAGAATTTGTTAGTATCACATATAATTACAACAAACTTCGGCATAAATTTGAGAATCCATACAAAATTGTAAAAAATGAAGCTTACATCTAAACAAAGCATTCCTGTAGTGAGAGTAATCAAGCAATAACTACCCCAAATAAAAGCTGTATGCTAATCACGATTATTTCAATCTTCCTTTTCAAAAATTTTCTTTTCCCAATCACAGCTTCGTTAAATACTCAAAATTAAAATATAGAAAGCAAGACTGGAAATAACTGAAAATCTCAATGGTGAAAATTTTCAAACTATTAACTTGAAGACATAAATAATATTATTTTTTTCTATAAACATATTTTCATCTTGACAACATTTTAATGAGTGAATTAATCGAGAGTTAAAAATTTAATTTCTTCAGAAAGAGGAAATAAGTGATGATGGTAATGACACTAAATGTTATAATAATCTGAGGAGATTAAAAAACTTCCCTGAAAATTACTTTCTATTTTTCTGAAAATTCAATTTATTTCATAAAAAATTGAACGAATATTTGCGATTGTTAGATGCACTCAGCAGCCAAAACTGGCGGTTATAAAAAAGTTGTGCAGAAATACGGATATATCCAACTCTTGGGATGATTTCTCAGCAAAAATAAATAAACGATCTACATTACGATTTTACAGAGAATGGAGAGAATTACTTCAGGTAATTTTAAATGTTGACTTTTGGATGTAGTTTCATTGCCTTCGTTAACTGTTTCTTCCGGTAACTTTCCAAGATTTCTTCCATGGGAAAATGTCTTACCAATATCAGAGATTGATCGTACCGCACTTAAGAAACCGCCTTGTGAAATACCGTTACCATTTCCAGCTCCACGTGCCTGAATTAATGGCGAGAAGAAATTACACTTCATTCTGACTTCACCATGCTTTTTCCTCCTTAAACTAGATGTCACTTTATTTAAGAAAACAAATAACTTCGACAAGCGTATCCTTGAGAAGATTAAACTGCTGAAAAAAATGAAAAGAGTAAAAAATTAACTAACTAACACTGCAATAAAAATAATATGAGTGACATTAATATGAGTACACTTATTAATCAAAATGATAAAGACTGCAAAAATAATCTATACTGCTAATTTCAAAAAAGAGGTAAATGTAGTTTCGGGTACCTGCTCATATTGGTGGGTATGCCTTTTAGAAAGTACATTCCGTACTTCATCAACGAGTGTTTCTTCCAACTGCTTCGACCTCACCAACTGTTCCAAAATTTCCTCTTCAAAGAAAGAAGTTTTTTGAATTAAAAATAGATATAATTCATGAACTAAATATAATCCCAAAGCTTTTAAAAATGTTATAACAAGCATATGAATTATTAACAATTTATAGCTAACTGAGTAAGACCCACTTCTCAGAATGGTGATTAATTTTTTCAATTTTTCGCTACAGTAATTTGAAAATAAAGGATAATCTGGCAGAAAGTATTTTTTAGGAATAAATTGATAAACCGATAAGTTCTGAAAATTCCTTTGCTTTTGAATCCATAATAATAGCGCCATTCATCAGACATGATCTTAGCTGGAAGAGTGCGTGAAGAGACAACGTGGCTACGTGTGGTTTTGACCAACGATTACCACCTTCCTCTACATCTTCTTCAAATTTTACCCATCTAGCAGTTTCACGCCATTCTTCGACTGTTCCAGAACGCGTTAGTTCTCCCATTTCCGTAAACAACGGAGGTAAATCACTCTGCTCTTTCAACAAAAACATCACACGTGCGCCAGGAGCTAAAACAGTTTAAAATCAAATTCTAAATGAATTGCAGAAAATTGCAATAATAAATCTAATTTTGACTGCTTTCCATATTTGATAAATCTTTAATATAATTTGTTATTGATGGATTATACAATTTATTATGCTTCCGCTGGTTGATTTGCAGTGAAAAAGGTTGGTGATAAAAGTTATTACTAATGTGTTCTTTACTAAAAATTACGATTTTCGTAACTTCATCTGAAATTTAATGTTCTTAACTACACTCTATAGTCCTTTAGCTGACAAATTGTAATTCCGATCTTGGGATTTCGAGTCTAAAAATTTTAACTTGAAGTAAAGTAACAGGCTTTTCTTTCTCAAAATAATATCAAGTAAACTTCGTATCTATCATAATTGCCAACAAACACAGTAGTTCACTGATTCTCATTTCCGTTGGCTTAAACTCAAATTGTGCACAAACATAAACTGGTGATTACATGATAAGAATGATTTATTGTTAAAGGACAAGAAAACAGAAGAAGATTTAAATTTCAGTGCATTCATCATGCAAAATCTCGGCATTGCAAGTTAAAATTTATGATATTACTTTGAGATTTTGTAGCAAATGGAAGATTTGAAATCAGCAATGAAACGAACACCCTAAGAAGAAACTTACTTGCTTATTTAGTTACAGCGTATTTCGTACAAAAATCATTGCCTATGAAGTGAATGACTAACGTTCGTTCTCACCTACATCAGCATAGCAAATACTGCGGTACAGCTCTCGAAAGAAATTATGACATCTTACCTAAAGAAGCCAAATGTTGAGTGCGATCAATGCTATCCAGACGACGACTCATTCTGCGCTTACGTTCAGCGACATCGCTCATTTCGATATAAGTATCCCAAATACATCCGCGTGGTTTTATCACTTGCTGCTCTGCTTGTTCAAATTGTGCAAGAGGAGCACGTGGAGTGACATCACTTACTGTTGGCGGAACAATATTCACAGTTGGTTCAAGTGTAGCATGCACTGCTGGTGATGATGATGTTGGAAATTCAATTTTATCATTGCTATCATCTTCAGTATCAGACATATTAGAAGTATTTTGATGAAATAGGCTGTAATTGATAAAATTAAAAACTTATCGCAATTAAACAATAATAATCACAAACATAGGTAGTAAAAAGTATGAAAACTAATATTTACTTCGTTCAAAGTAATCACAAATTTGTGCTATGAAATGACGGAAAGAACTGACGCATAAGGAATGAAAGTTTTAAAGTGAAACCTTTGAGTAATCTTGACAAGACGTGATATAAATATGAATCAAAATGACTACTCAAAATGGCATAAATTGAAATTGAGAGGAACTTAATGATAAAATGAATGGATACATAGATGGATGGATACATAGATGAATGGATACATAGATGGATAGATGGATGGATGGATGGATGGATGGAAGGGATGGATTAAGAGCGATATGTAAGTGAAGAAAAACAAAAAGCGAGCGAGCTTCTAGAGCAGTAGAAATAGAATCGATGACTGAGTAGTTTGTGGTTCGTTGGAGTGATGCCTTCTCCTCTCCTCTGACTTACTTCTACACAACTGAACCTAATCAATCCATCATGCTTGCTTCCTTCCCTCGTTTACTGCTGATTTCACATTTTCTTTTTCCTTCATAAATAACTCCTCGATTCCTTTATAGAAGCAACCCTGTCTGTACAAAAATTATCTCAGTCATTACTTGCATTGCTCAACTCAACCATTACATTGAGCAGTTCGCCAGCCTCGCAAATTAGCCTAACAAATACAGATACTTTCCACATCACACACAAATTACTCAATTCATTCGTCACAAAATATTCTCAGAATGCGAATGTGCCAGCAATCATATTGCTTGGCTACGCACCCATTGCAAGTGATGTACTCGTTTTGAGCTAATGTTACTACTCACTCTTTTTCTCTGCAACTCGGATTAAGTGATCTCCTTCTTACTGCCAGGCAACTGATGATTGATAGGTGATGGATGGGTTAACTGATGAATGGATAGATGGATGGCTTCGGTTGGATAATAATTCCCGCCAGAACCCACATTTTCATCTGAAAACAGTACCTAGTACCTCTGGTACACTCCGAAGACTGCTGACCTGCTATCCTTTGGCGTAATCTAGCCATTTCTCTTAACATTAAATACTACTCATGCACTGGATGATCACGGCTCGCTCAAATTGCACGTTTTACAGACATATCTTGTAAATACTTTTTGATTCAACCGAATGAGCATTCCTAATATCCACATATAATGAATGCTGACTACAAATTCATTGAAACTCTCTTCAATTGACAGCATAGTAATACCACGTTTGAATCTATCATCATTTTCGATCTTGTGCCGATCTCCGAAGAAAAAATACGCCAAAAATAAAGTCCATAATTACAATTTACCTAATTGTAATCACATGTGCATTTCATTACCTCAGAAGAATAAAAAAATATAGCAAGAAGGAATAGTGATACAAGTTAATAACTGCAGTGCTTAGCTCTGTGTTGACGATTCTACACGAGTCATGAGCATTCTCTACCAATATGTGATATGTGGATTCATCTGTTTTCTTCAAATACAAGCAGTTGTTCACTCATAAGACTTTGATAAGCTCTAAACTAAGTAAAATATCCATGTGACTGGTGTTTTCCTTTTAATTTTTTGGAAATAATCACGCAAATTTAATGTGGTATACAGTTTATTTGTCTCAGTGTTTCACTACTGCAATAACACCGAAAGCAAAATGGAATTATTAACTAATAACGCAAAAACACAACACTTAAAATTTATGTCTGAATGGTTTCAGTAATATCAGACAGACCTTATAGATGTGAATGCAGTGGAGCGGAAGATACGGCATTTATTGAGAGTAAGTAACTTTTGAGATAAAAGTAAAATCATAAATTTAATGATTACGGCGAATTTTTTTCCGCAAATCTGCACAGATTTCATAAAAACCTATATTTCTTAGCGTTTTTTCTTGGCCAGTAATGTGCAAACTGAAAAATTAAACCAAAAGGAAGCATAACTTCCAGCTCACGTGAGTGCTAGTGATAGCAGCGATTCAGCAAGTATTTTCTAGCTTTTTGTCTCATCTCTTAGCGCAAATTTTGAAAGTAAGATGCATTCGCCAGTTGCAACAGAGGCACAGGGGTGTGAAATATAAAACTAAGCAAGACATAAATGAACTTTTCAGATTGCAAGCATATTCGTGACAAAGACAAGTTAATTAGCTTGTATAAAGACAAAAATTAATTCTTAGTGTGCACGTAAGCTTCATAAAAGCTTGCTCAAGTATAATTATATCCAATGTTCTACATTTACTTTGCTATACAAGCTACAACCATCATGAGATCAATAAAACAGCTGTTACATATAAATTTAGTTTATATATATAGAAGCAAAGTTAGCAGATAAACAGAAAAGTAACTTGACTTGTTATTGAGCACACTAACTTGAGGCAATACTTACAGTTAGTTTATTACTAAAAGTATGAAAACAAGCATACACATTATTATTGATATTAGCCACAGGTATTGTAATAAAGTGCTGTGTTTAAGAAGTTTTGACAGATTTTTCGTCGAAGAGATATATCCGAAATATAAGCATATAGTATAATCACTCCCTGAGAAGCTTACAGCAATTAAAATTATTAGCATGCACTCATTAAATTTGCTTCAACAGTCTACTTGTAGAATAAAAGATTTAATTGCTGTGCTTTTTTCATTTAAAAATTAACAAAAACTTGACAGATTGCTCAATTTTAACGCTAATAGCCTCGTAACTTCCACAACACTTAAACAAATGTTTTGCTAAAGACAAAACTTGAAAAATCTCAAATTCTTAATATTATCAAAATCTTTGATTCTTAGAAAACAAAACTGTATTGACCCAGACTATCACATTATTCACTGTTATCATCTCTCGCCAATTAACTTTTTGATTCTTCATTCAAAAATTAACTTCTTAACATAAAAAGTGGTAATGTTTTCTGTCTAAAACTACTTCAAGCATGAAATTAATCTTCCAGAAATTAATAATTTTCCTTTAATATTGGCAAATAATCATTCTGACCATTACAGTCAGTCACTACATGCAATGCTATAAAAAAATAAAAAACGACATTTGTGACAAATCTATACAAGAGCAGAATAATGTACTATTCTTGCAATATATGTGCCAAACAACTAGACGAAAGATTTTGGCAAAAGTATGAAAATGTATTAGAGTGAGGATAAAAACTTGGAAAACAACCAAACGGAAGTTATTTTCATTCGTCCAAATATTTCTCAAGGCTAGACTTTTATAAGCGTTTATTTTACAAGGGCGGATCTTGTGTCCAACTCAGCAAGCTTATAAGAAGCAAGTTAAGCCCTAGATATGAATAAATAGATATACGAGTGAAATCGTGCCTGCATTTTTTTCTGCTTAAGTAAAGAATGGCAATACTGACTCAACAGGTCTATTCTAAAAGTAAATCTAAGCAGAAAAATGTAATCTAAGTCAGAGATGACAGAATTAGCCTTATCTAAAAAATACTAAAAACACAATAACGTTAAGCAAAGTATTCAAATAACATCTATTCTCATTTTTAGGAAAAACTCACACTAAATTTCTTATATAGACTTCAATTTTAAGAAAAAAAAGCACTACAAATGATTAACATTTTTGATTCTTACTTTCTTCCGTATTTAATTTAAAGAGTTTTACGGAAAGTTGTCATCATTTGTAAAGAAAATGCTGCTTTACTCCTAATATGTCACAAATTATTTTCAATTTAATAAATGAATAAAGGCAAATAAATATAAATAAAAATTCCTTTTTTTACATAAAAAAGTCGAACAAATTTTTCAGCAAAATCTTGAGGAATAATCAAAAAATTCATTCTTTTTAACGAGAAAAGAAAATTTGATTGTAAAATAGTAAGAGCGAATGTTTTTTTCAAGAAAAGACCATAATTTCTAACATCTAACGCACGAAATTTTTATCTTCTTTTATAAAAGCCCAAGTTCGTCATTAACAGTCTAAGTGATTGCTTGTAGCAGTAAGATTACACGTTACAATCGTACCTGAACAATAACAAAGTTAGTTATCGCAATAAATACTTCACAATTTCTATGCTTGACATGAAATCAAACTTGATTATTTCTCGCGGAATAATTTTTAAATCCCAAATCATACTCATTTTCTTTTCAATCATATATATACATCTTAACAGCTAATCAACGTATATGCAATAAATTATTCCTTTTTTCCGTATGCAAGCAAACGTGAACTTTGAGTACTGCTTCTTTAATGAAACTATTTGCAATGTATTTGTTTCAATCAGGCGTACACTGAACTTCAATAATGGCATAAAACCATCGAATCTTTCTTTCAAAAGTGTGCAAATTTCACTTTGCTTCTAGAAATAATTGCAAGACTAAAGTCTGCCTTTTTCTTCCAGTTTTTGAGACAACATTCCATCGCTTCATCACTGCTCTCAATCACGGAAAATGGTATCTCACCAAATTGCACACGATTTTCTCACAAGTATGACATTTCTAATTGCTTACACAACTACATCCAATGACGATAGAATACTTTGAACACTCTCAAGCTGTTCTTTTGAATATTAAATTATTATGCCTAATAAACTTGCAACTGCGATTAGCTTTTTCATATATTTTTTAATTCATCAGAAAATCTACTCTTATTTAGATGCAACAAGTTAATTTTCTAGTAAAATCAAATAAGTTAGTCAGTTAGAAATTGGAAATAATCAAAAGAAAAGTATAGTGAAACATAAATAACCAAGATGTTACACTACTAATGTGTGTGGGCAAAATCAAAAATAACACCACCTAAATGAATGACCAAATGATCGGACGGCTTACTCACTGACTACTACTACTAGTAAGCGATAGTGACAAAACAGTTTGCATTTAATAGACTTCAGTTAGTAAGGACGAAATAAGTCTGAGCATCAGTAGTCTTAGTTTTAAATGCATAACAAATAGTACATATGTTCACTCTGAAGCATTTGATGTAAGAAAGAAGAAACAGAA